TGTCCTATGCTTGAAGTAAGGGCTGAGTACAGAGGTCCCCGGTGTCCTATGCTTGAAGTAAGAGCTGAGTACATACTTCACCGGTGTCCTATGCTTGAAGTAAGAGCTGAGTACAGAGGTCCCTGGTGTCCTATGCTTGAAGTAAGAGCGGAGTACAGAGGTCCCCGGTGTCCTATGCTTGAAGTAACAGCGGCGTACAGAGTTCCCCGGTGTCCTATGCTTGAAGTAAGAGCTGAGTACAGAGGTCCCCGGTGTCCTATGCTTGAAGTAAGAGCTGAGTACAGAGGTCCCCGGTGACCTATGCTTGAAGTAGGAGCTGAGTACATACTTCACCAGTGTCCTATGCTTGAAGTAAGAGCTGAGTACAGAGGTCCCCGGTGTCCTATGCTTGAAGTAGGAGCTGAGTACATACTTCACCGGTGTCCTATGCTTGAAGTAAGAGCTGAGTACAGAGGTCCCCGGTGTCCTATGCTTGAAGTAGGAGCTGAGTACATACTTCACCGGTGTCCTATGCTTGAAGTAAGAGCTGAGTACAGAGGTCCCCGGTGTCCGATGCTTGAAGTAAGAGCTGAGTACAGAGGTCCCCGGTGTCCGATGCTTGAAGTAAGAGCTGAGTTCAGAGGTCCCCGGTGTCCTATGCTTGAAGTAAAGGATGTGATGATCACAATGTCTGCAGACGTTGTCTCTGAAACTTTTTGATCAACAATTGCTTCACCAAGAAACAAAATCATGTCAAAGACTAGGGTAAGATGGAATTGTTTTTCTTGGAAATCAATGACACCAAAATGAAAAAAGATCTATTTTATTTAGCATTTATATTGCTCGATACAGTTTATTGTTAGCAACATAATCACCATACCATATCTTATGCACATATTTACACAATACCATCACACTCCTCTCTCTAATTATGCACTGTTTGATGAACAATGAACACACAAAGCGAATCTCATACGTCTACCAGGTGCTTTTTCGAGCTTCCAATATTAAGGTAGGCTATCTTTCCATGTTTCTTGGATTTTGTAATTGAGCACAGAGCGCAGCCACTGTGTCCATGCACACTGAAGCCTGGCACCTGGAGCCCTCGAGATGGAAACATCTCCAGTTCATGTTGTCTGAAAGATATTGCAAGGGCACTCTCACACAGCTCCTATCTCAGCCTCCCATGACACAGCAGCAATAGTAACATACAACATGTACACACATCAGTATTGCCCAAAACAATGGGATTTCTTTTCGAAATGAATGACCGCATTTTCAAAAACACCATGATTTAGCATCTATATTAGAATCAAAGCAAGCAGGTCAATAAAATTCATAACTGAAGTAGATGTCAAATCTAAGAATAGGTCTAGAATGAATAAGTAGCATCTAAAACTGACATAAAAAAACAAACCTAAACCTACTTTTGATGACATGAATATCAACCAATTACCTCACCTCTGGTTGTATGTCAACATCTTTGAGAGAATGTGAAAAGTCAACACCTTGTCACTGTAAAAGGCATACTGTAAATCTTGAAATTAACGTGAGCAAGAATTAAATGCGAGTGGTCTTTTTTTCGCATTTATGAAACGTCACATTTATATCTCCAAAATGACTATCAACAATAAGACTGCACTGGATACATTGGATAGCGGAAATACCAACTTGAATATAACCACAAACACGGTTTATTGAGCAGCAGTTGCCACAGTTATATAACCATGTCATTCCAAGAATAAGAATTACACACTAGGCATCCGGTGAGTGATCACTGCTGGGGTCAAGAATTCTACCCACTTGTGTCTAACCAGGCATCACTGACCACTCCAATCAGTGAGTTGTTGGTTCTATTATTTTATTGCCTTACTTCCTTAATGCCAGTCAACAGAATAAACGTACAAACTGTAGGTTGTTTGGGGGAAAACACTGCTTATTGTTATTACAGAAGTGCTCTACTCAGTGCTAATAAGCAGTGCTATTTGCTGTCTGATGGGATGAAGGTAAGGTTGGATTGAGGTAAGGATATGTATCATTCCACTGGGGATGGGGTGGGGGGAGTCGCATTGATTTTGAGTCACATTTCTGGCTAGGGGACAGCAGTCGTATTAATTTGGAGATGCATTAATTTCAAGACTTACAGTATTCCTGGGACATAAAAGACTAGTTACCAAATACTCATTGTCAATAATTCACAGCTTCTACATACACTACATGTTCCTCAATCAAGTGTGTATATAAAATTATATATATAAACGTCAATGAAAAGAAATAACAGTCTTGATTATCTGCAGATCCCATTTGGCGTAAAGGGCAAAATAGCTATGAAAATTAGACGAATGGAAAATGAATTATTATTATACGAAATATAATCAATGCCCCTAAGTTCAAACTTTGACCAGGCTCTGTAACAATGCCCCTGAAGCTAGCTACTGAAACTGTGAAATGGTCGAGGTTTTGGTGTCAATTCCAGTAAATCTGACAAAGGTATTTAATCAAGCATTGCATATAGTGTCCCAATAGTGTTTTAAACCACTGCAACAGTTAAAAGCCCTAAAGGTCATCCCTAGCATCGATACAAAACAAAGCATACCGTGTATCACGTATCATATCGGATATCATATTGACTTGCATATCTTGTATCAAATCATGTATCATATCACATGTGACACATCATGTATCTGATTGCATACCATAATGCATATCATGTATCATGTTTCATATCACATGTATCTGATTGCATACTATAATGCATATCATATATCATGTATCATATCACATGTATCTGATTGCATACCATAATGCATATCATATATCATGTATCATATCACATGTGACACATCATGTATCTGATTGCATACCATAATGCATATCATATATCATGTATCATATCACATGTATCTGATTGCATACCATAATACATATCATATATCATGTATCATATCACATGTGACACATCATGTATCTGATTGCATACCATAATGCATATCATATATCATGTATCATATCACATGTATCTGATTGCATACCATAATACATATCATATATCATGTATCATATCACATGTGACACATCATGTATCTGATTGCATACCATAATGCATATCATATATCATGTTTCATATCACATGTGACACATCATGTATCTGATTGCATACCATAATGCATATCATATATCATGTTTCATATCATTTTTGTTGTTGTTGTTAACACCGCACTCAGCAATATTCCAACTATATGACGGCAGTCTGTAAATAGTAGGCTCTGGACCAGACAATCCCGTGATTGACATGCAATTGGGATATGATGACATGCATTATAACCAAGTCAGCGAGCCTGACCACCTGATCCTGTTAGTCGCCTCATAGGACAAGTGTATCATGTACCATATCACATATATCACATATATAGCACATATTTTATCACGTATCATATCGAGTATCAGATTGTATATCACTCATATCAACATCCTGGTGAATCCTGGCATTTTACAGTGCCAAGACACATGGCACATGGCTTACTATACGTCCGCATAAATACATTTATCATAACAGTATTGGACTAAAACAGTGAGACATTTCTTCCTTATTAGAGAAGATAAAAAGATACAAAACAGAAACTTATAAGCACATGTATACAAGTCAATATTGTGTTGATATAACTAAGTAGATTTAACAAATACAACATGCTTATATACAACAATGGTTGATATCATGCATTGTGATTGATATCATGCATTAATGTGGTTGATATCATGCACTAATGTTTAAGATGAAAGCAGCATAAAAGAGAGTTCTTATACCAATGTAAACAAAATAAAATGTATGGTATGTGTCTTGATCCGGAACTCCCACACCTAGACACTTGTGCTCCTCCATCCCCCCCCCCCCCCCCCCCCCCGCCCCAAACCCGCCCTGACTTTGCCCTGACTTTGCCCTTTTACATTCAGATTAACCCTCGTGTTAAAGCAGAGCCTCAAGACCTTCGCTCAGATCCCACAACAATCTTTCCCCAAAGCTTGTAAGTCAACAAGCCCGAACTAATTTTGGTATCAATTTCAGTGTTATTCTGTCTTGGCATATGGACAAATATAAACCAATCTGACAAGACCAGAGTAAAGTGAACTAGACACAGGCTTCAGACTAGTGGCTCAAGTCACAGACTGCAGCACTGTTTATCAGCATGGGAAGGACTACAAAAATAGTCAAAAGATCTAAGGCACACAATAAATATGTTATCACATCCCAATGTACACTTCTTACAGAGTAAATCAGAATGGTAAGTGTATATACATTGCATGTGATGTCTTAGATAAAATGTCAATGAATGTAGCAATATGTACATTTAAACAACATAAGCAGGTATTAGCCATGTAATGTAATGCAATATTTGACATGATTCGAGGTGTTGATTGAGTTAATTATGTTTGAATAAACAGTAACATTGAGAATATTTTTCAGATAAACTTTAAACTACAGATGAGACAAGCAGTCTTAAATTGTTTCACAAAATATGTTATGCAGTAACAGTAGGCTTGTAGGTCATAATTTCAAATTGTTTGAAATTTAATTAGGACCAATTTATTATATGATTTTGCCAACACGTATACCCTAACAACTGCCAAAAAAACAATAAACATCATGAAAAATTCAAGGTATTTTGGAAACACCTGTTTCTTTTAAATAACTTTGCTTTCAAGAGATGTTTTGACAAGCAGAGACATCTCATGCTGGTAGATCCAGAACAGTTTCAGAAACTCTGCTAGACATTTTGGACCCAATTCTACAGGTACTGGTATCACTCTTCAACTGACTAGGAAACACAGGAACTTGCTTCCCTTATTAATCGGGGGCACGGGTGGCCAAGTCGTCTAAAGCGCTGCGATTCGCTGTGCAGAGTTGTGTCCCTTGGGCATGCCAGAAACCTATGATTGTGGGTTCGAATCCCGGTTCGCCCAAATTATGTTTCTAGGTTTGTCAGCACCATACCCTTGCTCGTGGGTTTCACCGAAGTGGTAAACGTCTGAGACCTGCATCACTTCGGGGCTTTCCTCCCACATAAAGCTGACACGCCGCGATATAATTGGAATACTGTTAAAAGCGGCGTTAAATCCAACTCACTCACTCCCTTATTAATCAAATGCTTTTAGGACATGTAAATCATCAAGATGTTCAAGTGTTATTCTTCCTCACCCTTAGCACAGGTAAAAGAAATCCTTCATTTTTTTCAAATGCAATTCCACCCGTGTAGGACTTTGCTTATTAGCTTTAGGTGTGTATGGATGGGCAGGTGCCACAATTTGCTTGCAGAATTACATCTCTTAGATGTGCCTGAAACTTAAGGGTTCGAATTCCAGTTCACCCTGATCCAGTGCGTGGTTGTATTGTAAATCCTTCGCTCTACTAATTCAAGGTGTACGGGACACAGGTGGCGCTACAGTCTCTGGTGTAGAGTTGCGCCCCCTAGGCATGTCAGAAATGTATGATCATTGGTTCAAATGCCAGACTCGCCATGATTTTGTTTCTACATTTGTCAACACCATACCATTGCTCGGTGGTTTCACCAAACTCGGAAACATCCAAGATCTGCATCACTTCTGGCTTTCCTCCAACATATGCTCACACGCCGTGAAACAACTTGAGTATTGTTTAAGCAGCATTAAACCCAACTCACTCACCCACTCATGAAATGAAATTGGGAAAATTGACCTCTCCCCTTGCCCAAATGGTCCCACTGTGTCCAAATGTCCTAAACAGCAATAACAGTAAGGGATCCTAGAATGAGCTTCACAAATTGTACCCAAACTCAGATCATCAGTATGAACGACGAACACTTCCCCAGTACCCAATAGAACTGAAGGCCAAAAGTTATCTATATAAACATTGGGTCTAGGTAATATTCTGTCTATTTCACTGTTACACAATCACCAAAAGCATCTTTCAAAGATGCACTCAAATCATACTCGGTCAGCTTTAATCTCATATATAAAGATACCAGAGCCAGTACCCATATGGTCCAAGATCCTATGCAGAGAGGGTCCTGAAGCAGTGTGTAGTCTTAGATCCTGTGTTTAAGGATCAATCATACCGGAATATTCTGGATTTCTCTACCAGTTTCAACCAGATCAAACATTAAATGAAAGACACATCAATAATTATCGATTCCATGCATGAAGTTTTCGGGGTTTGTTTCCACATCCACGCTGGCATCAAGACGAGCGATGTGATCTGTGACCATGTTAAGAATCTGTTCTACGTCGTCGATGTTGCCGTTGCTGATAGTGCTCGCTGTTGACAACTCACTGACTGACCGTCTGCTGGAACAAACACATCAGGCTTGAAGTCAACTTGAAAAAATATACACTTGATATTCTTTCAAAATATTTCAGATGTTAGCATTCATTCATTTGGTCTGATATTAACATAACACGCTGGAGGCCTAACTAGCTTAGCCCTTGGAATCCTCTCCTATCTTAGCCTGGAAGCTAATTTATTGCCTTTACTCTTGGGGCCCCTTCAGCCGATAAGATAAATTTGTTGTTACTTTTAAGATTAGGGTGCTCTGTAAAGGGCAATAGTCCTCCTCCCTGCCAATGACTGATGTGCATGCTATATAGAAGCCAATAATTATTACGTGTACATTCTTGGGTTACTCCTGGAGCTGGAGAGTGTTCCGTTCTCAGGGATGTTGATGCCATTCTTGCGGAGAAACTCGACAAATTGACCATAGTCCGCAGATGGGATGAAAGGACTCATTTCTAGAAAACCAATATTCAATGTTATGACTACATTGATTCCAAATCCATTCAGTAATATCAAACAGAGAGCTTGTGACAGTCACGGAATCAATGTTGAACAAATAAAACAGTTTTTCCTGACTTTGCTTTAATATTAAATGTATTATCATCCTAACAAGTTCATCCTCAATCTTCATCTTAGCCATGTCAGTTGAACAGCATCATTAATTACAGATTAATAACAAGTTACAGGAGGATTAGTGAATGTTATTTTGTGCCACTGTCAGCAAATTGTCCAGGACCACGTTCCCCAAGTAGCACCCTGACAACAATGTTGAAGCTATGTTGGAGACCATATTGAAAAACAGATTCAAACCCATGAACAAATTGGGGTGCCATCTATGGTTGGGACGACATGTAAAATTTCAGCTTCATTGGTCCTGTGGTTTCTGAGAAGATGTTTACGACTGAATGCATGTTTTTCCAATGTGGATGCTGGCAGCCATGTTTCAGCTAAATCCATCACAGTTTGTGGATGAAGACAATGATGATGGAAAACTATGGATGACTTGCTAATAATTTAAAATACCCACCTGCTAACAAATGTTTCCTATCTTGACCGTAAAGTTTTAGCACTTGTTCACAAAATTCTCCAATCGGTAGGTCATTATGCCAGTCCCGCAGAAGTTCAGCAAAGTGACGCAACTCATCCGGATTCAGCTTTTGATGCAGCTGAAATATTTCATGTGATGGTCAATAAACAGAGTAGCCTCCTGATACTGCTTCCTTATGATATGATTTTGCGATGGTTATTGTGTGATATTCTTCATGTTCATGCACCCCAGGTAACCAGGGACCATTGCTATCAGGGGGCCCAGTCGTCTAAGGTGCTGCAATTCGCTGTGCAGAGTTGCATCCCTTGGGCACGCCAGAAACCTATGATTGTGGGTTCGAATCCCGGTTCGCCCCAATTATGTTTCTAGGTTTGTCAGCACCAGTTTGTTGTGGTAAACGTCTGAGACCTGCATCACTTCTGGCTTTCCTCCCACATTAAGCTGATATGCCGCTATATAACTGGAATACTGTTTAAAGCGACGTTAAACCCAACCCTCACTCACTTACTCATTGCTATCAATCAGATTTTGTTAAATTGATGATTGGTTCATTTAGGCTCATTCCAATGTATTATCCAATAACAATAGAGTGATGTTTTGTGATAGGTGGTAAGAAAAAGCTAGCCCAAGTAGTTACCACATAGTTTGAGCAGTATTTCAGTAATATCACACCTTAATAATATGGGAGGAAAGCCCCCAAACTGCAATCATCAGATCTTAGATTTCAGATGTATCACAAAGTCCAAAGTAAAGCCTTAAGAGATGCAGGTCCTAGACTATGGTGATCCTATGTTGAATTGAGAACCAGAGCTATATGGGAAAATATCAGTCATTCTCCAGAAGCAATATCACCAATGTTAAAGGTAGAAATTTGTTAGATTTTTTGGTGCAGTAAGAAAAGAGACATTTATGAATATATACAAACAACACACTAACTTTAAACATGTAGTCTTTGACCAGGTCGGTGGGGATGCTGACATCACTCCCCCTCGTACTGTTCTCACTCGGCACACGCTCTTGTCCGCGGGGCGATCGTCTCGGGATGGAATCTTGACGTGTTGGCAGATCTAGATTTGATGATGTCAAACTGAAAGAAAAATACCACAATAATTCTAAAGGACAAGAAAAGGTAAGGTGGCATGTCTAATATTCAAACATATATAATACTCAAAGTCCTTGACCCATTTAGGAAATCTAAACAAAAACAGTGCAAACTTGGTAAACAAAATCATCATAGGCCACACACTTACCGTATTCAATGTAATAAGCGCCCAGGGCGCTCTCAAAATTAAAAATAGGGGGTTCTTATTAGAATATTATTTTGGTGAAAAAACAGAGTTGAAAGATAAATTTCGTGGTTTATGCTGACAGCCTGAAATGTTTATATACAGCAGATATAGTTTTCCAGAATTTAATTGCCCATAATTAAGGGTGCATATAACACACGAGTGTGTATTATACGCGAATAAATAAGTCTTGTGTACATTGATCAATCGGAAGGGGTGCTAATTGGGATTGTTCACTAGCCAATATATTAGCAAATATCGCCGTGGGAACTTATTAGAGCAGGGTGCTTATTACGTCGAATACGGTAATTATAATTGGCTTATCTCATGATGCTAGATGTTTATGTGTACTTGATCATGTCATATTTACAGTCCAGGGCCCCGTTCCTCAAAGCGATCTTAGCGCTAAGGTAATCGTAAGTCCCATACTTTAACATAGGCTTACGATCATTGTAGCGCTAAGATGGCTTTGAGGAATTGGGCCCTACAATTATTTTAGAGTTTTCCTATATTTTACCATTTTACAGTTACATTTTCAGTGGACCAAATCATCCCTCTGTTTTAAAAAGAAGGGAGAACCAGTTCCAAAGATGCCAAAGACAACACAAGAGCATGCATAATCAACACTCAACAAGTAACTTACAATGAAGGACGTCCACCATGTCCAAAGGGAAAGACCGTTGTCGACTCTGAAATGGTTTCTATGAGATAAAAACTATTAACAATAACTGTACTTTAATTAATACAAGCAATACAGAATGATATTAAAAGAGTGATCTAGTTCAGAGGGTGTGGTCACTTTGAGCTATCAGATGGGAGTGAGTGACTCAGGTTTAATAACAGTATTTCATTTATGCCACTCTATATTAGTTTAATCACTTTAATGAGATGAGAGCCCAATGTTACCATGGCTACCCAAATTGTAAACTGTAGGTCATAGACACTTTTATCACTTTGACCACTAAGTCACCACTACCGCCAATGGAATTAGAGTGAGTGATACATCTATGCCATTTTTAGCCATATTCCAGCCATATTTCAGAAATATCATAGCAAGGATACTGGGGCCCACTTGCACAAAGCTATCTTAGCGCTAAGACTATCGTGAGCCTATGTTAAAGCATGGGAGTTACGATCATCTTAGCGCTAAGATCGCTTTGTGCAAGTGGGCCCAGGAACAGGCTTCATACATTGTGCCCATATGAGGAATTGAACCCAGGTCTTCAGTGTAAAGAGAAAATGATTTAACCACTGGGCTACGCCATTTTCCTAATGCAATAAAAACACTGATGGGATTCTGGGTCCGAATAAGTCCCAGCAACCGATGCTGGTCGTAAGAGTTGACCAAAGCAATCAGGTCGTCAGTGACGTGACTTGGTTGATTGCCTGTCATCAAACTCAAACAGCATAAATCATTGCTCATAATATTAATTCCTGGTTTATTTGGTCCAGATTATTTACAGACCACTGGCATATAGTTGAAATATTGCTGAGTGTGGCGTTAAACAACAGACAAGCAAACCAATGCAATAAGAAAATAAACATTGTCATAGTACACATGGTAAGAGAGCGCTACAAAATATAACCCATAATTTTTGTGTGAAAAATATTAAAAAATCAGAATGGCAGGTTATTGAGTATTTGAAGCCTGGGAATCTCCACCATACAAATGAACTCAAATTTGAAAATATGTAATATGGTCAAATGTGTCCTATTATAACACGAGAATACTGATGAAAAGTCAAAAGTGTCATCAACTTGCACGTACCCCCAGTTGATCCACTGTGAGAGACGCTGGTCGTGGTTCCGGGGATGCGAGAATCCAACAGCTGCATGGTGGCCTCGGTATACACCAGCTGGAAACACTGGCCAATCAGAGCACACAGTTCCTCTGCTGCTTGCTGATGGCAACCAATCAGAAGACAGTATTTGAGTTGGATACTTTACTATCATATGTATCAGTTAGGGGCAATTCACATAAAACATGCAACATGAAGGCAAGCAACTCTGTGGCACAATTGGTGTTTGGTAGTCATGTTATTGTTTTGTTGAGATATATCATCAAATGATTAGGCACTTGTGTTCACCCAGCACTGAATGGGTACCCAGTAGGATGAGATGGTAATGTGACTGTTACCCTTCTAGCGCCTTACAGGCAGCTTGGGTTGTATACTCCCCAGGGCATTGAGAATGAAAACTTGAGTGCACACTGACCAAGGTAATTATAATGCAGCCCTGAAAGCATGCATCACATATGGAGTTATGCACTTTACAGTGAGTTGGGTTTTACCCCACCTTAACAATATTCCAGCAATATCACGGCTGGGGACACCAGAAATGGGCTTCATAAATTGTACCCATGTGGTGAATCGAACCCAGGCCTTTGGCGTGAAGAGCAAACGCTTTAACCACTAGGCTACCCCACCACCCCTTATGTACTTTACAAGCAGATTATTATTGCCAGATGAATTAAAACAACTTGTGAAACAACTTATGTTTGATAGTGATGTTAATTGATGGAAAACATATCATCAAATGCTTTAGGTATATCCAATACAATTCCATTTTTAAAAGTGTGGGTGGTGTGGGGTGGGGTTGGGTGGTGTGGGGTGGTGTGGGGTGGGGTGGGGCGGGGTGGGGTGGGTGGGGTGGGGTGGGTGGGTGTTACACACCCTTTAACTTCCCTTCTGGATCTGGGTATCTATATTATAATTATAACTTGACGGCAATCAATAAGGGCATCAAATTGGACATCAAAGTTTTTTATTATACAACCTGAATGACATGTCTGACAACCCCAATTTCACACATTTCTTAAATTAATACTTTTAGAGCAGTCGCCTTTATAGTTTCAAAGAGTCTGTTAACAAATTTCATTAACAATAAACTCCAATGAAGATGGATATGACACTAACTTTAAGGCTTTCCATTCAAAGCTATGCTTCAAGAAAAATGTTTCCTGGATTTTTCTTTTTCATATATATATATTATAATCCTACTTGCAACATCTAAAAGATCATATTTTTGCAATTTTTGAGTTTCCTAAAACAAGCATAAGGAGTCTAACACAACCAGTCTCAGTGAACACACGAACCACAGAAACATATAGAGAAGTATGTACGTAAAGAAGAGATGTTTCCAATGTGCACCACTTAATGACAAAACTAACAATCTGTCAAGTGTTACCACAGAGTGTCTTTATTCTTATCACGATATGCTGCCGGTGATTTCCAAACTTTACACGCTAATCCTGCACAAGACAAATGGTACATTTTGAGTCATGGATCTATCACGTCACATGATGCAGTTCACACAACATACCAGTATGCTCCCGTACATCAAACCCATCTAATGTCTCTTGAAAAAGAATAATTCTTCATATATGAACCAACATGTATGGTATTCACGTTTCTTATAGCGGTGATATGAGCTAAACAAGTCTCAGTGAAAGTCATCTATTAACCTTCCCTGTGAGGTCAGACTTTTAACTTCCAGTGTAACATAGTCCTAAGTGGACTTTTGTGACAGAACCAAAGCTTCCGAGTCCTAAACAAGTCCGTCTGGGTCTTACCTTTGTATCGCAGTAGAGGACAGACAAACTGCATTCCTCAAGTGTTCCTAGAAGGGAGGACAGAATAAGCAGTGTCACAATACCAGAGCTCCAGATAAGCATTAGGTGTTGTGGGTATTTTACCCATGCATTTTAAAATCATTGGGTATCAGTAATTTTATCTGGGTATTCAAATTTCTGTTACCCACTAGTTTTTACACATGTTGGTATTTAAGTTAAATATTTAAAAACACTATTCATCTAGTCCCTGCAAACTGGTGTCGTGTGGGTTCGAGAGCCTTATAGGACTCAAAAATACCACGATACTTCCACAAGAAAGTGTGATGGCAAATGATCATGATGTAACTGTCATCGTGGAGTTTGGCAAGGTGGACAGAATGCTCGTTTATAATTTCAAAATAAGTTGCTGATTTGTTAATCGAATACGCAGGGTTTCTTCACAATATTTTGATGATACGCACAAGTTTTATTTTTGTAGCGTATCTGTAATGTTCGTTGCGTATTTGATACGCTTGGATTTTATTTTACTGCGTATTTCTGCATTTCCGATGCATATTTTACGCAGATACGCAGCTTATCTCGAGCTCTGCAATGCATACTAATAGGCTAGACAGTTTATATGTTGCTTTATGTCACAGTTAGCAATATTCCAGCTGTATCACGTCGACATGTAAACAACCGACTCTGGCCAGTCGTGAGGTTGATATGAGCACCACTCCATACAATGAACCATGTCATCAAGCCTGACCACCCATTCCAATTTTGTCGCCTCTTTTTTCAGTTTAAACATATATCTCTTGAAAAGCATTTTGCACAAGTGAGTGAGTATGGTTTTACGCCGCTTTTAGCAATTTTCCAGCGATATCACGGCGGGGATCACCAGAAAAGGACTTCACACATTGTACCCATGTCGGGAATCGAACCCGGGTCTTCGGCGTGACGAGCGAACGCTTTAACCACTAGGCTACCCGACCGCCCCCAGAAGAGAAACAGATAAACGTATGTACATCAACATTGCTTACTCAAACGTATGTATATTCCTAAAGAAGTTTTCATTGACATGATAAGGTAAAGCTGCATTGCCAACTAGTATCAAGTCAATAACATTACCTGCATCTTTCACAATTAACAAACGTGAGTGCATCATTTCATTTGTAGCTATTTCAAAATGGACGTTCAATGAAACAATAACATGATTTTCCACAAGGGCTGCCACATCGGCAGTTGGGATCCTTGTGTAAACATCTTCTAAATAAATCATTTTATAATTCATTACCATAATTCATTATGTCTAAATTTTGTCCATGTTGTATGTTAATTTTGAGCCCATATGAGAGTCACCTCTTGAGACAAGTGATAGAATGATGGGACCTATTCTAGCCAAGGGGTGATGGTTAGGCTGCAACAGTTTACAGCTACTAGGTCATCTTTGAGACGTGTTAATTCAAAATTATCATGATTATTGCTTTAAGGAATAAATCAGATTTATGTGAAGAACAGAAACAGTAACAAGAACATCTTCCCGAGGCAAGGGAGTTAACTGAGCATAAATGTCCAGTTCCACCCTTGCCGAACCAGGCTGGAATTTCCAGGCTTGATTATAGCGGCTATTATGAGTTGTGTCCCTTCTATGTCCCTCCTATTGACCAATAAGATTACATTGCTCACATCCCTTGCATTTGCTTCAAACAAAATGGTGGCGCCAAGTCGAGACGATCTGATCAATAATTAAGATCTTTATTGTAATAAACATGTCTCACCCAGCAAAGTGCATCAGATCACTTGAGCACCTTGATTAAAATCATGAAAAGATTTGACAAAATATCTGTCGACGCCCAGTTGACGGTACACATGTTTTGCAAATCCTGCAGTTGACGGACATCAGCATGCTGAAATCCATGTTATTTACCCACCAGATGTCTAATTCGTTACGCGATTTTGATTGGATTATGCATAGGTTGTCCAGCCAAACTGCAACTCCAAAATTCCAGTCTATTTCAGCAAGGGTGGAAACAGGAGTTTTATAGTCAGTTAACTCCCTTGCCTCAGGAGAATGTAACATGAAAGAAGTTAAATACAACCTACCATGTTTGAGTGCCAGAATATGCTGGCCATCATCCTTTATGTAACACACAGCTGCAATCTCATGCATTGGTATCCGTAGCAACAGATCCTAGAAAAGGGAGATAACTCTTTAAGAGTGAGTGAGTATGGTTTTACGCCACAATATCACTGTACCCATGTCGTGTATCGAACCCGGGTCTTCAGCGTGACAAGCAAACACGTTAACCACTAGGCTATCCGACCACCCCGAAAACAGAGTCAGTTGAAGTTATTAACACATGAAAATCATAATGATATTTCAAACATCCTCTCTTTTTAATGATGGTATTTTATCCATATGTCATGTACGTGTCAAAGGTATTTCAAAGACGTCTAAGAATACCTCTGACTGGTTGTATCTGCTGATCTTGATGTTGTTGACACTCAGGCTGAAGATTGCTTCATGCTCGTATCCAACTTTTGGCGGGATGAAACCTTGTTTCTGAAATAATAAGTGAGATAAAAAGTGATTGATTGAATGATTGATGGCATGTGTCAGAGTGTGTGAGCATTCATGAGTGAATATATCTTCCACAATATTCTTCTAGCTGTTTTCAGTGAGCAGTCTCAGTATTGAGTACATGACAGTAACTTAATGCTATTTGGGGTTCAATGGACACCTGTAGTTACAGCACTAAGATGGTCTTGTGGATGGGGTCCAGTATAGCATAGAGGTCTTCCGACAGCATCCATTTTGTTACTATGGTTACCAAGATGACACTGTGAGGAATCTTAATCCACTAAAACAACAACCTTTAATTTGGGATAATTCTATGGTGTAGCCTCATGTTACACCTTTCTACCATTGTTAACTGGCATCAATGTAAGTTATATTATTTCTAACCAAAAACCTGCTTTATAAATATCTCACCTTTCCCTTGTCAATGACTCTGAGGACATCAGTCCTGTTTGTGATGTCGATGTCGGCCACCACTCCATCGATCATCCCTGCATACTGAAACACAAAACAAAGGGTTCGTGTTATTGACTGAATGTAATGACTTTTGATTACGCCCTAACATGAACCATAACTTATTCACACGCCCCACACACCTCTTCACCAAACACCTCATCATTTTATTGTCCCAATCTCATTAAAATCAGATCTTAGTTTTCGCTTTCGCTAAACTAAGATCTGAGGACATCCCATTACGGGTCAGGTCAGAACAACCTTTCATCCAACCAGTCAGAGCGCCGCTTACCAGATCATGAAAGTGACAGTCAGAATGTGTTTTCTAATCATGCAAATATTTAACACAGGGTATTCTGAATGACAGTTATGGTCTTTATGATTATATCCATACAATCTAGGCCATCTATAAGCCATTCCAGAATGTTCTTCTTATTAGTTTTAATTTTTTTAATCTAGAATACGTCAAAATATGTTTCGAAGCGTAGTCGCCAGCTTGACTGGCTAATGTCAATTTCTTGTCAGTCATTTCATTGGTCGGTCAAAATTCGCGAAAGGTTGTTCTGACGTGACCCGTAATGGTATGTCCTCATATCTTTGTTTAGCGGTAGCGAAAACTAAGATCTGATTTTAATGAGATTGTTTATTGTCCACAAGTGCCAACCAAGAAATTTGCTATGTCAGTCGACGTCAAATGCATTTTGAAATCATTTTCATGTCTATGAAGGTCCATACTCCAATGAACTCACTTAAAGTAAAAGTCAACTCTTTTAAATTTTTGTATCACTATTTTATACATCTAAGTATCTATATCTATACACAATTCTATTAAGTATGTGTGACTTCTTGTTTACACCTACAGCAATACAACAACCACCTTCATCGCGGAATGGAACAGCTCCTCAAAAGGAGAGGCGACATGAGCTTACGTATGCTCACAGTGACATCTTTTGTAGTTTGTTTACAACAATTATTTTCAAATAATATCATTATGAGCTGAGAAGGGTCTGTTAAGAGCTACCTCAGTAAACCATTCAGTGTGACTGCGAAGCGTAATAAATTTACATCAAGTACAAAACGACAAAATGGCCGACGGATACATGACGGGAGATCATTGGCCGGTAATTGAACGGTGATTGTAAAGATGCGTTAAATAGATACTAAGGTAAATTTATAGATTGCTGTAGACTGTCACTGTGAGTCTAGGCACGGATTGAGTCATGACTACTAGTTAGGATGTGCATTTCTTTGTTTTGTTCACTAGGAGTGGTCGTAACAAGGATGTCCTTCAACGAACATGCAATCAAACTCTCTGACCCAATGTGTGCTAAAACACTAAGTTCAAGATTATAAAAGGGTCTAAATGATCAGAAACAACACTTCTGTGCTAATTTGTGCTTGGGAATTCCCAGGGGTTTCCCCATGGATGTGGACATAGCCTGTCAGTGTTTACGTCATTTCAAGAATATACGTCATTTCAAGAATATAGTCTCTTGAAAAACGTATGAACATCAAAATGTGTCATTCATGCACTATTGATCTTCAGTTTCGCAGTCATGGGACCAACCTCTTGTCAAATGGAAAAGCTGTAAATCATGTAACCTTTATATTGAAAAATTATACAAACATGATCATGTATGCACGAGACACTGCATTCTTACCAAAGAGACTTGACAAAAGTACCAGCATCTCTACGAAAATGTACCATTCAAAGAATAAAGAAGGTGCAATACATAAGTCAGCTCATCATTGAGACTAGTCACTGAAATGCCAGTTACACATACATAGATTCTACACAGGGTTTCAACTGACCTTGACAACTTTCTCTACGTTCTCCTCAATGAGGTACTGAGGTTTCACGTAGTAGTCGGGGGGTTTGAGATCGTAACTGTTGAGCACCCGTCGGCTGTACATGCCCATCTCTTCACGGGGGCCCCGACCGCGATTCAGTTGGTTGCTGAAGAAGCCCTGGAAGAACAACAACAATGAGTGAGTTGAGGTTCACGACACTTTCAACAGAATTTGAGTGATATGACGGTTTGACAGATGCTGTTCACATCAGATTGTAAGCATAGTGAGATTTTCATCTCAATGTTCAGCATCAGATTGAGCTGGTAGTTTGAGGAATTAAAAAATAAAAAAAGAGTTGTCTCTTTAACATGTTTATATATCAGCATGGATCATTGAAACAGCAATGGTTTTGATCTCAGCATTCTTAACAAATATTAATCATGTTATTTATTATTAGCAGTAAACAGAAGATATTCAAATATTCAATAAACATACATACATACATACATACACACACACACACACACACACACACACACACATACCATACATACATACATACATACATACATACATACATACATACATACATACATACATACATACATACATACATACATACATACTATAAACTTACTACCCTTCTCTAATGTTCTCCAAATATCATACTTATATTTAACGAGAAATGATAAATATTTTTGTCCAGAGACAGGTGATTTATGTTGGAACTGATCATGCTGATGGAAAGATTGAAATATAATTTTTTTAAATTAATTGTTTAGGACAGTAACCATGGTAATTATGAAGCAGCATGGGATGAGGGAGCAGCCCTATTTTCTTCTCTCTGCTAAAGTTGTTAAATGATTTCAGGAACGAGAAAGAAAGGGAATTAACTCTTTGACCTTTCATTCAAAACAACACTTTTTCATTTTAATGTTTTCACCTGACAATCATTTTTGTGTGTTAACTAATCATCATGGTTACTAAAAATATGCTTTTAAATGTCATATACCGATATGGTCTCTGGTTCTTAGTTTAGTAGTTTAAAAATAACAAAATAAAATGACAAATGGCCTAACCATGCTATGATGGGTGTCTAAATTAAACTAAAATGCATTATCTATGCATCATCATCAAAAACATTATTTGATCAACCTGATAAATATATTATCATGAATATACACACAAACACACACAAAAATAATAAAAAAATAATAATCTGTGAAAATAGTGCCAGAAAAAGAAATACTAAAATAAAATGAAACAGCAATGGTTTTGATGTCAGCATTCTGAACAAATATTATTCATGTTAATATTTTTAGCAGTAAACAGAAGATAAACTGTAATAAACATGATAAGAATAATCATGATAATATTCAAATATTCAATAAATAAACAATGTAAGCATGAGACTAACTACAAGCCACCAACTTAGTATTTTTCACCAAAAAAAAAAACAAGAACAAATGCAGAAGTTCTCCTCCCCTACCTGACTCAATATCCCCTATATCCTCTGCCTGCCTGTCCCACATACATGCAATACCTATCTAGCAGATGATGAATGGCATACACCAAGTTCATACAGTCGGCCCTAAAGTGCCACACCCAAAAGGGACAAAAGATTAGATAATAAATGTTCTCTACAAACATACGGTTTGTGCCCATCTGTCATCATAGGCATACAGCATTCGTGACAGGCAGATTACAGGAAGGGTGGAGTAATGTGACCTGTATTCAGTGGCAAGCAAGTGGAACCCACCCTACTTCAGCCTGTGGAATTCCACGATACAAATAGCATTTGTGTCCCTGTTGTGTCACACCATTGTGTTGACCCAATAAATACCGGTACATGACGATGAGGCAGTTGCCTGGTTCCTCACTACAGGATTGTTGATGCCTTGTCATGATTTGTCATGATTTGTCATGTTTTGTCATGCTTATTAGTTGATAGCAAGTAATTGTTTTTCATCCTGAATGGCTGTTTTGCTGTGAGTGTTGATGTTCTGAGGTGGACTAGGTGTAGAGGGAGTATTCAGGAGCTGTGAGTATTATCAGCACAATTAATTATCGTATCTCTGACGATTAAGTATAAGATTTTCTTTTGTTTGTTTAACTGTCAACTAAGCAAAAATTCTGAATTATAACTTAATTTATTTATTTATTAAATTTCAAGAAATCCCACGCTTCAAATCTTCAAAGAAGAAAAGCGATTGAGTTACGTGCGTCTAAAATACTTCTATAGTGTACTATATATTGAATGTGATCGCCAGTAATGAAGACTTCATGAAACAAATACAACCTATTCTCTTAACTTCTGAGTTGGTTGGTTGGTTGGTTTGTTGTTTAACGCCGCACTCAGCAATATTCCAGCTATATGACGGCGGTCTGTAAATAATCGAGTCTGGACCAGACAATCCAGTGATTGATATCATGAGCATCGATCCAAGCAGTTGGGATTGATGACATGTATCAACCAAGTCAGCGAGCCTGACCATCGGATCCCGTTAGTCGCCTTTTATGACAAGCATAGTCGCCTTTCACGGCAAGCATGGGTTGCTGAAGACCTATTCTACCCCGTAATCTTCACGCGTCCTTAACTTCTGAGGTGAGGTGATATGGGGTTTAAGGTTGTGTTAAAGACTTTTGCACTTATATAGCAATGTGCAAGCATATGTGTGTCTGGCTGCTTGTACTCGTCCGGACTAATGCCGATTTTATAGTGCTAGCCCATGGAGATACAAGACACAGTATACGGACCCTGAACTGACCAGTCCTTGATTTAGCCCCTTAATGCCGAGCGCAAGGCAGGGTAACAACAAGTACCATCTGTCAACGTCTGTTAGTATGACGTGGCCTGGTTTCGAACCCCTACCTTCCGCTCCCCAGGCAGACGCTCTACTAGAAACAACGGAGGCAGTCTTCTGAGTTTAGGAAGACCATGAGTCTGTTACCTGGCTTTTCAGGTTAGTTTACGTACAACATATCATTTTCTTGTCATCGAATATTTCAAGACCAGACTGTGAAAGATGACTTTAGACAAAAAACATAGGGCCGTCTCTTTTTTGTTTTACTATAAGTTGAAATGAAAAATCCTTGGGATTCTGAAAACGGTGAATAATATATGCATAAAAATATTTATTCTAACAAAATAAAACACAATCAATTATCTTTTGGCATCGCACTTCCAAGATGGTGTGAACTATTGTTTGTTTTTCATTTATCAGATGCAGTACTAATCTGGAAGTTGAAATCTTTTTTATATATACATTTTTTTATATAAAATCATGAAAAATGTCCGAATGACACTTTTCTTCTGATTTACTAATCGACCTAAATTCAGTGATGAAAATAGTTTTAAAGTAGGTCAATAGGGAAAGGGAGGTAACCCCCAATCATAAATCGGCAAAAAACTGTTTTCATTTATACTAATAAGACATGAAACTTAATACACAGTATCTTTTATGACAAGTGAGAGGCTCAAACTGTTTCTTTGAGATTAAAAACTCACAATGGGCTATATATATTTTTACCCCTAGTGTGCCTACTGTCTGTTTGTGATATTATCCTCTATGTACTTTGACTCTGCTGACAGTCCTAACCAATATTTCAGAGATCGAATGGAAAATTTAAGAGTTTGCTTCAAGGTGGGAGTCCTTTTGCTACCAGGTGTTCCCAGTTGTAATTATAACTGTAACAACAGAACAAGACAAGTCAAGTAATATTGATATAACATGTATAGCGAACTGGGTCTTTCAGTCATGACAGAAAAGTGTAATTTGATTGGCTGGTTATTTTTTAAGAGTCATGTCAACTGTCCTCTGAACCATGCTGGTGAATGGGTCCAGGATATTTATCATAACAGAATGAAGATAAAAAAATTATGATGCACAGGAAAATCAGAAATGAATGCAATGGTATCCAGTGATTTTAAAAGCTGTAGTTTCAAAAAGACTGAGTTGACTTACGGGATTCAATTGCCTTATTGTTGAAATAGTTAGTCTTGACCTTTGAACATCTGTCAAGTGTCTTGTTTAAGACAATGTCCTTAATGATGGGACATTTTTATTTTTCATGCTTATTTTCCCCAAAATTTACACACTGCTTTTCACTACCCTGATTACTTTATTTCATTTTCTACAGTTTCCTGACATCAAACAATGTTAAAGGCTTAAACTAATGGGGAAAAACATATGTGTTCAAAATTATGGGGAGACCTGGGGTCCTTGATGTTTGTTCCTGTAGTAACTGAGTGTAGGACCCCTAACACTTTCAGCTTCAGGGCAATCACAAGCACCCCTGGACTTTTCAGGCTTAATTAATATAGCTTCAAAAACTGCATATGATAAATACAGTACATCATAATCATTTATTCAAGAGAGTAGGACACATTCAAAATGAATACCAAGCATTATTGAGCAGGGTCATGTGATAATAATGATTGCGTATAGTTTAAGGCTTCCCTGATATATCTTTAACAATTTTCTTATCGTGATTTACAATTGCAGTTCAATAGAGTTGAATATTTAACAACATTTGAACCATTTTCAAAGATACAAATACAATAACATGTAATGAATTATACGCTTTACATTCAAACATGACATGGAGTTCATCCTCGACGTATCTGCAGTCACATATTTTACATGTACCACTTAATCATACAAAATCTTTGCTTTTTTGTATTACATTGCAGTGGCAACGCATGTAGACTAAGTAGACATATATATCTTCTTACCTCTTTTACATGAATGTTAGCCACACAATATTCAACCTCTAACATTGACTTAATCAGTTTATAATGCACGAAATGTGGAGAATACATAATCTCCCCAAATATATGTTGTTTATTACAATCCACTAGTCCTTGCTTGAAAGTAGAAATAAAGTGTTTATCATTGCCCATGTCTTGATTATACCAGACAACCCCAAAACCATATGAAGATGACACCCAGGTATGTCTTCCTGTCAAGTCTAATGTTTTCATAAGTAAATAATAACATTGTTTTGGATAAAGATCCTGAGGCATTTTCAATGATTCCCACCAATAAGTCACACATTTAAAAAACTAATCAACACATATGCCTGTTCCCCCACACTCTGCTAAAACAGCATTACTTGAATCATGTTTACCAACTCCCAATACATACTTACAGAAATTTATATTAAATCTATCTGAAAATTTTCTTTCTTGGAAGCCCCATAATTCAGCCCCCATATTATAACACTGGCTTTATCTTGCTATCAAATATTTTAAGTAGTACATTGACAGTCAAATTTGGAAATTTATTGTATAGCTTTTTAATAACAAGAAGCGCCTTAACAAGAGTAACATTACACTTTGTCCAAGATAATCTAGTTGAACATAACACCCCAAGATTATTATAATCTGTAGACGTCTTTAATGGTTTACTGTCAATGACCCACCATTCATGAAAAACTGAAACCTCCATACTATTCCATATTAACTTCTAAACCCCAAGATATACAAAACTTATGCAGGATGTCAATCTTTCTATGTAGACCAATAACACTGTCATCAAATATACAAATAAAGTCAGTGAAAAGTAACACTAACTGTTCATGAAAGTCAGAGCCAACAAATATACCTCTGAGTTGTGCATTTCGTAATATAGTGTGAAATTCCGTAATGAATAGCAAAAAGAAGTGACTCAACATGCTCAAGACAACCCTGTCTTACACTGCTACATGATTCAAAACATTTCTACTGCTGCTATAATCTTTGAATTCATTAATATTATGAATGATTTACCATGAATACCATTTCTATATGAGTGAATGCCAAAGTAAAATTTCTATTTATAGAATTGAAAGCTTTTTCCAAATCCACAAATCACCAACAAAACCTCCCACCACTTGTAGAAAGATATTGCTGCACCAGACATTGTAAAGTAAATATGTTATCTGCTGTACGGTATCCTTTAAGCAATCCCACCTGTGCATCTGGATTCTTCTCAAAGTAATCTGCATACCGCCGTAAACAATTATTAAAAATTACACAAAATATTTTCTCTAAAATATCCATCAAAGAAAAACCTGGATAATTATTAACACAATTACGATTACCCTTTTTATGAAGAGGAATAATAATTCCTTACATCCATTCCGCTGGCAATACACCAGTTTGCATAATACTGTTAAATATAAGAAGTAAATATGGCATCAACATATGCACACAACAGATAATCAGGGGTCACCCTAGGAATTTTCTGACATGGCCCCTTTATGTGAAAATTTCAAATATTCCAGAGGTCCGCACATACAAAACAATGTTAAAATTCTCAATTGTATTTGAAAATATGGGCCTTTTTTCAAATTTAGGGGCTAAAAGCACAAGGCCCCACCCTAGAATTATCCCTGAATAATCATTTCAACTTCAATGCCTTCTGGACAAGCTGCCTTGCCTTGTTTAATTCTTTTACGTCGGCTTCAATCTCATCTATCTCATCCCGCGGGATGTCACTTTTCAACATCATGTCAACATCCTCATCACAACAAACATCACCTGACCATGATCACACAACTGTTCATCGTGGTCGTTCATTACAGCCTTGGCAAGTTTGAGAATGTCCATGTCTATTGGGATGTCTGTTAGGTTCAACCCATTCTTTAAGGAGTCCACTGACCACAGATAATATTTGCAGCAGAAGTACCAGGACAGGGTCGGTCATGTAGCCTAGTGGTTTAAGTGTTCGCTCGTCACCCCAAAGACCTGGGTTCGATTCCTGACATGGGTACAATGTGTGAAGCCCATTTCTGGTGTCCCCCGCCATGATATTGCTGGAATATTGCTAAAAGCGGCGTAAAACTATACTCAGTAAGTGAACCAATCTTCCCCCAGAACATTTACTGTTATAACCATCACAGCTATGTATGAGTTTGTTTATTGTTATTTCTTCGTGATCCATTTTCTTCTTTCTGCATAGGCTTCTATAACTGTTTCTTAATTTGCAATATTCAAATAATGTGATAATATTTCCATTAATCTGAAGTCATTTAAAAGAATAAATTTCTTCTTTTTTAATTGTTCACATGCCTCATCATACCATACAGCTTGGTCATCCTGTATAGCAATGCAATGTTTAACTTGTACACCACATGCCAAAGCGTCGGTTTGTATTGTCTCATTTAGTTTGTCAACAGCAAGACAGACGCTCACTGTCAACAATTGAGAACACTGGTCAAGGCTTAAGTCAGATTAAACATCAAACATTTAATCATTAAAAATATCAGTTTTCCATCTAAACCTTGGTATGTTCGAAAACAACTCTTCTTGACGCTCTTCAGTAACAGTTCTGTCCACATAGGGTAATGTAACACTGATTGGAAGTAGTCTGATATGCAATGAGTATGGAGGTTAAAATCATACACATTAAACAGATCAGTTGCGCACAAAATATAATCAACCACACTTGTGCCATTTTCCTTAAAATACCATTTAGCATGTGAACATCAAATGTACAGCATAAGTCTGTAAGGTCCTTCCTGTAGTCATTACAACATCGTATCTTGTATTTCGACGAGTAGTAAATGTATCATCATCACAGTTCTTATCTTCTAAACTTGGGATAAATCTATTGTCATCATTCAAAATATAATCATATAAATTGCCAGTTGGTTATTCATATCAATTTAGAAATCCAGGAAAAGTCTCATTGTTCTCTTTCGAACAGTTGCTCTAGAATTCAAGAACTCCAAAAATGTCAAAACCAGAGCAAAAACTTATAAATCCATTATCAGACAGATTGTTTGTTTCTGAGACAAAAAATATATCCCAAAACAAGGAAGTGAAATTCAATATTTTGGTGTTGTAGAAAATCTATGTGTTGTTGTTAATCTTAAAATACTTATGTCGTCGGCTTATCAATTGATACAGTGCAGTGATTTTGGTAGAGACCAAAGGCACTGGGATATCATTATGATTTTGTTAACAGTTAAAGATAAGATACTAGGTAGAAGTCTAGCCTAATATACAAAGGACGTATTGGATGACAAGTCTGTCAGTTTGTCAGAAATTGAATCGATCTGAAACCTTGATAGTTTCATTATAAATGTAACTCAAGCTGAAATAACTTATCAATTTATACAGGCCTACGAAAGTTATAGATCTATTTTTTTAAAACAATCATTGTGAACTTTTTTATTACAAAATTACAGCAAGCGGTCTTCAATCATTCTTCCATCATGTCCAGTTAATTGGATGGTTTAATTCATTGTTTGAGATCTTGAGTGCATTGCCTTGATCTAATAATCATCAGTATTTTCTATAATGTTCCTTTAATGTATGTTTACAACTGATTAAAACGAGAACAGCTGATTTATTTCTAGTTTCTAGACATTTGGATCATAGGTTATATTTACCTTTTTTCTTGTCCGTGGGTCGTCTTCCATTGCACAATTGCCAACATTTTAGATAAAACCACTACTTGAAAAGTGAAAGCTGCGTATATCAGCTGTCACCAAAAGAATTTCCAAAACTTTCTACCATAACAACCTCCGCCATCTTGTCGCCGTCATTTTCCGGAAGCAGGTGCCCATTTAGAGTTATCTACCTTGGTTTTCTTCGTATGTTTGACTTCTATCTTACATATTTTGTTTTAAAAGTTAATTATGTTTATACTATTATTATTGTACATGTCACTTTTAGAAGAATGTTTAATTACATAAGCAATAAGCATACTCATATGGATATTTAGATATATCTCTATTTACATTTACATTTCATAAATGAAAAATAATAATCTTGTTTCATATATTTTGTAATCATATATTTTCAAAAATATGAATTAAAAAAACAAAATAATATTTAAAACATTTATTTAATTTTTATTTCCAAACAACTCCAAACAAAATTGACAGTTGCACTATACAATTTCTGAAAGATGATACTTTAAGATTTCAAACCAGTTTTCCCCATTTGCAAAATTATAAATAAGCATCAATACATGAACATCAGGACAGGCTACATAAAAAATGGAACTTCGGGAAATAACTATAGATGTAGAACTGGAGCTGAATTAAGCATGCACAAAAATTAATGATAACTTTAACATGAGGCAAATGTTTCCGGTTTGGACAGTGATGAAAAATAAGTTATTTTTTTATGTATCCTAAACCTGACCTGTCTAAGCTGTTTCAGATAATAAAGTAACAGTGTTCTTATGTATTATGTATGGATGCATAATAAAGGTTAAATATATTTTCACTTGTTATGGGTAACACTGTTCATGTAATTATCAGATAAACTGTATGTAAAGGAATGGTGGTTCTCAACACAAGTGGGGTATCCAAGATCCATCCCTGAATTGGTCCATAGTACTTCATGTATGCAACATCCGATGTGAGGTGAAAAGGAAATAGGGTTCAACATTGCATTCAAGATTACCAGGCAACTAACAGGATCGGGTGGTCAGGCTCGCTGACTTGGTTGATGCATGCCATCGTATCCCAATTGCGTGGATCGATGCTCATGATGCCAATCACTGGATTGGCTGGTCCAGACTCGATTATTTACAGACTGCTGTCATATAGCTGGAATATTGCTGAGTGCGGCATTAAACAATAAACAAGATTATTGCTCTTGTTTACGATGTGTGTGTTTGTGGGAGGGGGGTGGGGAGGGCACGTGGTTGCGTGCATGCATGTGTGTGCATGCTTTCTTGTACCACTCTGGACTAATGCCACTTTTATAGTGCTAACCCACTGATATACCATGCCACAGTTTACCATGGATACACCACTTAAACACTGTATGTATAGTGACTCCGAACCGGCAAACCCGATCCCGTTAGTCGCCTCTTACGGCAAGCATAAGACAAGCATGGGTTGTTGAAGACCAATTGTAACCCAGATCATCATGGGTTCTTTTGGTATGACCAGCTAGGGGATCGAACCACCGACCTTCGTATCTCTGGGCAGATGCTCTATTCACGAGACCACGGAGGCAGTCAGTGATATGAGGATCATCAATTTTGAAACCAAGTTCAGTGGCGAATAGGTACAAGGTATTTATCCCAACAGAATGAAGATACAATACATTAGATAATCAAACACAATGGACATCATGTAAAAATATTTTATTTTGTACAGCTTGAAACCTTGGACAGAGATAACAGTAATCAAACATGTCCAACAACCATCCAAAGTCTATTTTTATTGCTTCCAAATCTCCTCATAGACTACATCTACATGTACTCTTCTTCTCTGGGGATGTCTTTTCAACTTCTCAAAAAGACACCTCTTGAGTCAATGAACACCTGAGTTGTTGGGTTTAACCCCACTTTGAACAGTATTCCAGTTATATCACACAATGTCAGCTTAATGTGGGAGGAAAGCCCAAAGTGATGCAGGTTTCAAAGTTTTACCACTTTGGTAAAACCCATGAGCATGTGTATGGTGCTTACAAACCTAGAAACATAATCGTGGCGAACCAGGATTCAAGACACGATCTTAGGTTTCTGGACTGCCAAAGAGACGCAACTCTGCACAGCGAATTGCAGCGCCTTTAACAACTGGGCCCCCCATGCCCCCTACCCTACTTAAAATGTAAGGACTACACATACTCAAAAACAAACATGTACATACTACTGTTAATAACTTTCACAAACTTCTGAACACAGTGACACTTTACTCATGTACTACAAGATGTCACCTTGAATAGTTGATGAGTTTGGTTTAATGCTGCATTTAACAGTATTTCAGTTATATCACAGCATGTCAGCTTGATATCAGTGGAAAAAGCCAGAGAAGTGATGCAGATCTTATCCATTTACCCCTTTGGTGAAACCAATGAGCATGGGTATGGTGCTGACAAACATAGAAATCTGGAGAGAGTCTGGAATTTGAACCAGGTTTCTGGCACACCTAAGGGATGCAACTCTACACTACAAACTGTTGCATCACCTGTGTCCTTTACACCTTGAATCAGCTGAGAGAAAGATTTACAGTGGGCAAGTTAGGAGATAAACATACTGTGTTTTCAAAGAAGAGCTATTCCTGTTCATTTGCATTAATCTTTGTAACCGAATACACAGCATGTTGTTTTAAATGTTACATTTAGTGCTGCCACAGCTCTACAATGAAAACACAGTATGTTTAAAGCCATTCTGCCATGACTAAATTTAAATGCAAACTCTTTGGTATCAGCAACGATCATGAGTGAAATTATGACTCCAATGTTGTGTGTAGTTGTTGTATATTGGTGTGTATAGTCAAACATTGTGCTTTACACCAGTATATTTTACTTGCATACATGAGAACATTGAAAGTGTGTAGTACAGATACATCATAAGCACTAAACACTAAACACTAATTGCTGACCTTGAAAAGATCTAAACCCAACACAACCCTCTGTAAATATGTGGCAGTATATATTGTAAGTAGATTTCTGATGTTAATAGGCAGCAGATTGAAGCGATGGAAAATTAGAGTGACCTCCCTTAGTTGTTTTCAGTCCAAGCTCCATCACAGCGCTTGACACCCTTCATTATCATCCCAGTATTGAGAGCTCCACGGTGAGGAGCTTGTTTACAGTTGACGATTCACTTCCAGGACTGACTACCTAAATCTAGCAGCTTCGTGAGGTAACAGTTTCTAGAAAACTAGCTGTACCTATTGGAATCTACATGTAATAAGAGCTAGACGTGGGCGACATGAGGCCTTCCACGATCTGACTTGCGACTTATCTGCATGCCCAGTGTGGACATGATATCTATCTGAAAGTGCCAACTTTCTGTCTGCTTCAAACACTGTTCCCTGGATTGAAGAATGGAGCACATGCCTCATTCAAGACATTCAAGTGTAAAAATGTTCGACTTATGAGTGAGGGAGTATGGTTTTACGCCACTTTTAGCAATATTCCAGCAATATCACAGCGGGGGACACCAGAAATGGGCTTCTTCGTCGTGATGAGTGAACGCTTTAACCACTGGGCTATGTGAAGATCACTGATAGATTACGTCTTCAGCAACCAATGCTTACTGTAAGAGGTGACTGACAGGATTGGGTGGTCAGGTTTACTGACTTGGTTGATGCATGTCATTGTATCCCAATTGTGTTTACCAATGCTCATGATGTCAATCACTGGGATATAGCTGGGATATTGCTGAGTGTAGTGTTAAACAACAAACAAACAAACTGGAAACTGGAATCTAACCAACAATTATTCAGAAAGAAAAGTCTGAGTATAGTCGGTTCCAAACTTAATTAAGGAGAGTTAAATCTACAGGTAACTTAGCGCTACACTGAAAACACAGTGTGTTTATCTCCTAAATACCTCATTGAACTGTTGTGGCCAATATTCAACTATTTCAATTCTCAAATTTTAGCAGCTGATCTAACAGAAACAACTCCGCAGGGAGTGCCACGTGTGCCTTATACAAGTGCCTTATGCCTCGTACCATAAAAGATAAAATGTCTGCTGAGTTTTTCAACTGCTCAGTTTTCTGTACATTTTTCAAATGTTAATAATTGTAATTTTACAACTGACCAATGTAATTCTTAAAAGATTTCTGCAATCAGTATTCCCAGTTATTTCATATGTGCTGAAAACCACTATTGTAACATAGGTTTCAAATGTTCATACGGCATAGCTTGTAACACAGCCACCCTCAGTCATCTCCCAGCTTCACTGATCCCTGAGATCTGATGATCCTTAAACTAACAGAAAGACACTTCAAGTAAACAAGGTTTCATTGTAAAATCCATCCACATAATGACATTCCTTATGTCAAAGCAGATGGAGAAAAGACAGGGTATTTCGGGACTGAGATAATTTCGCCAGCCAAGAAACAGTTCTTTATTTTACCCACAATTTCAAAAGATTTGTCCCTAGGATCAAAACACTCCACTGTCGGGCTGTTGGAGAAATCCTCGAACCAGTAAACCTTCCCATGGAGCAGGACACATCCCATACACTCTGTCTGGAAATGGCCCAATTCCTTGCAGTCTCTTGTTTCTGGGTTAAACATTCTCAGATTCTTGGTGAACTTGCAGCACAGGTAGATGCTGCTGCCAAAGGTCAAGGCAAAGTTGACATTGGAGCTGATTGGTTGGCTTATGGTGATGAATGACCATTCACGAGTTGTGAGACAGTACTGCTGAATCTGTGTTTTAAAGACGTAGATTTTGTTGTTACAGACAGCGACTGCGGCAGAGAACTCAGGCTGAAGCAAGGGAGGATGGTCTGACCATTCATCTGAAATAGGATGGAGAGTGAATGTAGATGATAAGGATCCCAGTGCTTAGCTGCCTGTGTAATATACTTCAGGTAATAAGAGTAGCACCTAAGTTATACCCCAGAACGCCTGTCATAGATTCTTGAAAAACATTATTATACCCAGGGGAAATTTATAATGAGTTTCACTTGATGAATTAAAATTCATTTTCAACATTATCAAATCGCTTTGGTTCCTATCCAACAAACATCATTTTTTTATGTTTAGTCTAACTATTGTTTGAACAAAATCTTTGGCACATATCATGATATAACATTTTTTGTTTATTCTTGCTTGCAAGGCACAAATCACTGGTTCGCCTGAATGTCGGGATGTACCTATCAATCAGAGACTTAGCCACTAGTCTAATAAATAAGTTTAGGTCACCTGTTTCAACGTCAAAGCTTTCAACAACATTGAGTATCTTCCGGAAGCGCCCAAACCCTCCAATTAGAAACAAGTGTCTGCGGTCCACGGCACATGCTCCATGGTGTCTCCGGGGCTGTCGGAGAACCTTCTTGCAGCACCATCTACGGGTGAAACAGTTGAACGCCATCATTGTCATCTGCCACGTGTTCCTCCCCAGGACCGCCTCCCCACCAGAGACGAACACCTCCTTGTCTGAAACAGTGGTCGCAATGGTCAGTGAGTGAGTGGGTGAGTTCGGTGTAAGACCACTTTGAACAGTATTTCGGTTACATCACGACATGTCAGCTTCAAAGTCCAAAGTGATGTAGGACGATGGACGTTTACAACTTTGGTGAAACCCCTGAGAACAGGTATGGAGCTGACAAACCTAAAATCATAATCAGGGCAAACCAGGATTTGAACCAACCATCAAAGGTTTCTGGTATGTCTGACAAGACTATGGGACTCAAATCTGGAATACCCAGCACCTCAGACGACTGGGCCACCTGTGCCCCTGGAGACAGGAATAATGTTTGACATTGGCACATCATGTATCTCATGAATGGATTATTCTGGCTCTGATAGAAGATGAGAATTCCTATTATACGTAATTACGCAATCATTGTTTGTTGTTTAATGCCACACTCAGCAATGTTCCAGATATATGATGCTGGTCTGTTTAATAATCGATTCTGGACCAGACAATCCAGTCATTGATATTTGCTGTATATTAATATTTTCAATTGCACATTTCTTCAGGAAGTCTGCTGATTTTTATTTAGAATATTTAACTTTATCAAAGATAAATATTTTCAAACTTTTATATGTAAGTTTCCAAAAAAAAATAAGGTGTTTAGCATGGTTAAAGTTTATTCTATTGCTATCACAACAAATTCCTAAATTAGTATGCAAGAAACATGACACAAAACGATCGCTGAGAAAACACTTCTGCATAAAAGCATAACTAGTAGTATTTATCTTTAAAATATTTAACCAAATATGGATAAAATGTTCATCTTAAAACAAATGTAAAACAAATATCATTATTTCTATTAGTTAGTGTTCAATATTTTAAAACCTGTTATCTTGGTAATGCAGAGAACCAAAGATTCCATTGTAAATACTATGATAGTACAAGATACCCACCAACAAGTGTAACTTGACACCCTATCACCTTGAGAGCATTTTCACCAAGCTCTGAGTTGTCATCTTTTGTGAGAGCTTCGACAGAGAAGGAACACGTGTCTTGTGAGAACCACAGCATGTCCCTCGAGGCGGAGTTGCCCTCACACTGGTCAGGTTTCACACATGTTAACGATGAACAAACATGGCCGCCAAAACACATGATGGCAGTTGGAGACTTTCTCTTAGATACCTGAACATGCAGAACAAGAAATCATATAATTACTAATAACATGATGACATAAAGCAAGGCTCCAGAGCAGCGAAGTAAGTTATGCAACATAAATCACCATTACCATAATTGCCACGGATTTATAACCAAGAAACATAATCAGGGAAACCCGGGATTCATACCCACAAACATAGGTTACTGGCATGCCTAAGGGAGGCAACTCTGCCCAGCAAATTGCAACGTCTGGGGCACCCATGTCCCTAATATCAGTATCAAATGTACATACCTGGGCAGCTGGTCTTGTTCGAAGATGCAGTTTCCTTAATGCAGCAGCATCTGACACTAGTTGCCTAGCATCTTCGTCAGCAGCCACCAGAGGATGCTGAAGTAGTTTCTGTATCTGCTGCTCACACAGCATGTCAAAATACACACACTTCTTCAACAGCTCACAGAACTTGGTACTGGGAACTGCTGCCGCATTGTTTGAAGTGTGACGGTCAGTGAACTGACCTGGAGCAACAACACTGACCACAACAGAAGTACAATCTTTCACAGAAATAGGCATGCTGGAATCCTGTATCAGCTCTTTGGGATCAGTGTTCATATCATTGAAATGATTGTCTGGAGAGGAACTGCACTGGTCCATCTCATTCACATTATTTTCGCCATTTGAATGTAAGGAATCAGCAAGAGGATCAGAATTGCAAGAGATATTCTGTGTGTACCACTTGCATAACACATCAAACACCAGCCATTCATCAGTGCAGTGGAGAGCATTATGGGAAAGGTAGGCAATGAGCTGAGGCTCTGGCAGGTCGTAGAGTTCCAATTCTCGGGCAACATCTTCAAAGTACCACAAAGAGTGTGTCTTTGCCTTATGGAACAACTCTGACAGCGAGAACATGTCAGCCATTGTCATGACAGTCAGACAGTTGGAATGATCCAAGGAATGGTCCAGGAACTCACAACACGATTCCAGTACTTCTTGGAATTGGTACACTACAGAAGCTTCTGTCAAATCATACACATTGTCTTCTGTTATGAGCAGAGGAGAGTCCAAAGATTTCACTAACAATTGAATCACGTCAGCTTTGGCTCCTTTTAACTCAATTACATCTGATGAACTTTCTTTCATGTTACTTGCAAACATTCCTTGGAAATAGTCACTTTTTGCAATAAGAACATGTTTTTTACATTTTATTCGAGTTTCATTTACTTGGAGAATGATGTGATTGTCTCCATTCTTTCCTGTAGTATGGCTAGAATGATCCATGATGACATCCGAGACTTCTCCCCTCAACCTCTTTCTTCCATTCTTGTAAACTGAAAATAAATTATCCCATAAGTATGGAAAGTGAGTTAGTCTAACATTGTTTTAAGAAGTATTTCTATCGTGTCCCAGTTTGTCAGCCTTAATGTGGGAGGATAGTTTAATTTAAACATATTTTTTTGTCTAAAAAGACAATGGGATTGGGCATTAGTGTAACACGTTCTGCTGCCACCTCCCTAATGAAACAATTACCACTTTGGTAAAACCGATAAGCACAGATATGGTGTTTCCTGAGCAAGGATGACAATCTATGTAAAACGTACGCTGGTAAGTTGAGCTCAGTTTACACTTGAATTACCATAAAAAAACTTTTACAACTTAAATTCCTATGTTAATTCCTATGTCAATGTTAAAAAGGTATCACTTATTACAATATCTATAGACAATAACCTAACTCCAATTAAGGGCCCGGGTAGCCTTGTGATCAAAGGGTAACCTGTTAAAGCATTCGACCCGGGTTCGATTCCCGACATGGGTACAATGTGTGAAGCCCATTTGTCTGTTTGTGGTGTCCCTCGCTGTGATATTGCTGGAATATTGCTAATAGCGGCATAAAACCATACTCACTTACTCACTTCAATTACAGGACCATGTACATATATTCTAGAGCTATGTTAGTATTGAATATTAGGCCTAGTCACATGGTCCTGTGCTTCAATCAGTGAATCACCTAAAACAACACCTGCATGTCTTCGTCTGAGTAACCAATATTTCACCTTCATGAGGTGATGGGGTCCAACAGTCAAGACAAAAGCCTGCCTCGCGCACTGGATCTTCTCACGGCTTTGAATGAACACTAAGGAAATCCCTTAAATTAGTAGACGTAAGTCTATTATAACGCCGTTAGATCTACTGTAAGACTAGACCGTTACAAAAGTATGAGTGCAGCACTAGCCATACCATTTCATTACACAAGTTCGTCTTACAGTGTCGAGAATACATATTTTATAGTTCCCGGGAAAAGACTTCTTACCTCGAAACGTTTGTGTCGTTCAACTTGCCAACAGACGGAGCAAGCATGCAGTCTATTATCAAGGCTTGGCGAAATAGCCGACGACCGACTTTCCTGCTGTTAAAAATCCAAGGGACGTAACTCTAACCACGCAACCAAAGGGTCCATTGGCGAAGGGTTCTACCAAGTAAAGCTGGATGAGGTTTTTTAGTATAGTATCTACATAACTGCGCGAGTTAAATCACGTTGCAGCATTAAAAAGTATATATTAAGTAGCCAGCTCTACATGGTAGTGAACCCTTTACACTTGAATTGCCATACAAAAAAACTTTTACAAACTTCGTAGTACTTATTTTAACATATGTAAATTACCAAATTATTAACTACCAAATTGCTCCCCCTGGGTTTTTTTTATATGTATCCCAATTGCGTAGATCCATGTTCATGATGTCGATCACTGGATTGTCTGGTCCAGACTTTTTACAGGTTTTTACAGACTGCCGTCATATAGCTTGAATACATCTTCCCGAGGCAAGAGAGTTAACTGACTTTAAAAGTCCAGTTTGGACTTTTATAGTCAGTTAACTCTCTTGCCTCGGGAAGATGTATTCAACCTGGCTGGTAGGGCTGGGACTGTAGGTCTCATGAATAGTTTAACTGTAGCCCTGGCAAAAACTGTTAGATACATGTATGAAACCAGAGACCATATAATAGATATATGGTCTCTTACGAAACGATCAAATCATGCGTACACTGTAGTTGACTGAAGCTTTATCTTTACTCAAACACATATAAGTCAAAAGGAATGTGTGCATCATCATAAAGAAATGGGAACAACAGTGACTTGTAGTGTAATCACTGAGTTCTGGTGAGTTTTTGTCATTAAACAATATGTCACGTGACAAACCACGGGTCCGGGTAGTACTGTGGGTACCCGGGTCCTACTCAGGAACCACCCGACTCGAGTACCCGAGTTACCCGTCCCAGCCCTAGTGGCTGGAGACATATTACATAATGCCATATCTGTAAATGGCCTCTATTAGTATTATTGCGGTCACCCGATTATAATAGGGGGCTCAATGACTTTGAACTCATTAAACAACGGTAATCAATATAATAAGATAGACCATTTCATGCACTTTGTTAATAACGATTTATATTTTTTCGAGTAAAGTATATGGGGCGGTGGGGTAGCTTAGTGGTTAAAGCGTTGGCTCGTCACGTCGAAGGCCCGGGTTCGATTCCCCACATGCATACAATGTGTGAAGCCCATTTTTCGGTGTCCCCCGCAGGGATATTGCTGAAATATTGCTAAAAGCGGCGTAAAACCATACTCACTCACCCGAGTAAAGTATGAAGACTCTGTATGTGCTCCTCAAAATAAATCATATTGTTTTTAACTCTTAACAAATTCCAACAAGATAGTTTTTGGTGTCCCCCTACAAATTATTTTTAAAATAAATTTCCACAGTGAACTTGACGTTTTTTCGCAACATAATTTTTATATACAAACTGAGCTCAGTCTTTACAGATCTAAAATATTGAAAGCGCGAAAGAAGCCAGGAACCAGTCAACACTCTTTTTAAATCTCGCGTGACTGTTACTTTGAATGTCGTCCTTGACGACCGTTGTCACTTTGATGTCACATCGACGCCATTGTTGTTGTTACATCTGCACTTTGCTTTTCTGAAAGCGTTATCTTGCTATCCTGTCTTGCATTTCTTGAACCCGTCACCATGAATGCGAGCACGTATGTTCAAGGTACAATTCTGACTTTGTTTCCATGTCTTTATGATCCTGTAACATTAGCCTATTACTATTAGACAATGTGAAGTGACAGTATCTAATATAATATTGCCAAGCTTGGATACGTTTCTGTATACGTAAATATACCTGGGGTACAGTTGTCCAGTACCTGTGCCGACAATGACCCCAACATCGACCGTAGAGCTATAGGCCGAGCCTACCCCAGTGATTTCTTCCCCAGGGTTTCGATTTTTTGTTGAAAAAAATACGTGGGAATAGCCCCATAATTTCGAGCGTGAGTTTGAGAGATTAGCAGCCTGTTGTATCAAGGCTAAATGTCTATATAAATATATTTACATATTACATATAAAGGAGGCAGGCCTATACATCAACCCACACTAGAAACTACCGATTTCTCTGATGTTAACCATAAACTGACCCCAAAACACGTCTGAAAAACTTGGAAACCGTTAGAGCGGCAAAGAAAGGAGCTCGTGCAAATCTGTTCCAAAAATGGCATACGGTATCGGTATATACCGCAATCCTGCCAATGACGTGTAGGGAGACACACATGTCGTTTGTCCCTTCACTTGATGAAGATCCTTTTAGACCTACAACCGTCTCTGCCATTGGTCAATTGCGAAATTACCAACAACTGGTGCCCTCAGTCCATAATCATACAGCATAGGATAGACTTTTTTAAAATGCATTCGGCCTCACATTCTACCCAACGTTTTACATGAACTCACCTGTGTCTGTTTGTGTCGAAATGGTAACATAGTCACATGACCAGCTGGACTGCAATGTGTCTTAACCCTCTGGCTGCCACCTAAAAATAGCCTGTGTACTATCGCTGTATTTATTCAATTCTTTTAACATGTTGTTTCAGAAGGACATATATGTCCCTCTGGCACAGCAACTGTGTTTTGTGTAGGGACATATATGTCCAAATGACATCCAGAGGGTTAAAGATGAGTCCAGTCTCCTAAATAAGCATCCCTGAGTTTGAAATGAAATTAAACATTTTACAATGATAGACATTATGTTCTCATAGGTTAGTATATGTATGAGGGTAAATCGAAATGTTCTGGTCACATGGGAGGTATCACAGAAGGTGTATGAAGGAGAACATCTCTTGGATTATGACACATCAAGCTACAAACAAATAATTGTATCTGGCTTTGAGAAAGCATTGCTGGGCCAAGTGTATCAAAGGAAATATACATTGGAAAAATAATTTTGATTCTGAACGATTTTCTATGTGAGGCAACAAACTTTTCGATTTACCCTCTGAAGTGGCTTGTACTCAATGTCTTACCCTTCCATTCCCTCACAGTTGATCGGATGATCTGGTTCCCCCTGCCTCTGTCCCCCCTGCCTTTTCCTGCCCCTTCTCCAGTAGGTGGTATAGGGGCCTGTTATTATGTATATTCTTAGTGTTTAGCTCTGCATATAATATGATATTGTGTTTTCAGTATCACTTACATGTGGAAAACATTAATATACTGGTTGAAATTTAACATCCTAAACATTACACTAAATATGACATACTTCCCAAACTAAAAGAAAACCAACAAACATTATTATATATTCTGGTCCTAAACAAGCAGTTTAAGGCAAATTCTACCAACTGGATGTATGACTATTAACTGCTTACCATTATACTTGGCCTGGTATATACTTCATTATGGTATCATTCTTGGTATTTCCTAGAAAATCCCTTCATGATGTCTATTTTTGATTATGTAATCTCCACCTCTCATTATTGAATGTGTACTTGTAACAATACAAATCTTCTGCCTGGATCACACTGTCTATGGTTTCTCACAGAAAGAATCTCAGCTCTCAATATACATATTTCCAATACTGCAATAGACCATTCGGTCATTCACGTCATATCTGCTTTACCTTTGTCTGTACCTCACATCAGCCTTTTACCGTCATTCATTATCTACTATATAAAATAATATCATTTTTGTTTACTTCATGTACAGATTTAATTCTTAATTATAACCACCTATAGACTTTTTCACTCATACCTTCATCACTTTTCTGGCTCTACCGACAAAATTTCATATTTGCTACAATATAATTCAATAATTGAATAACTTTTTCTTCAACATAATATTCTTTCCTCACGTCCCATTCTTTCCACTACCTCCCTCTCTAATAGCACCCAACTTCGAAGTTCCTGACCATCCCTGCCCACTTGTCTCACCTGCCCGTCCCACAGACCCTTCGCCCCAGCACTGTCCCCTCTGTGTCCCTCACTATCGCTGGTCAGTACATCGTGGACGACACTGACTTTGTTGAAGTTGATCTCGTGGATGAGGAAATCATCCAGCCAACCCACTCCTTCCTGAAGGCCTTGCTATCCAGGGTGGCCAACTTCTTCAGAAGAGTCAAGAGTGTGTTTAAGAAGAAGGATGATTAGGCAGTGAACTCTGAACACAAAAATATATACTTATATACAAAACATTTATGAACCATTTTTGGGACTCTTGAGGCATTTGTTACAATATTTGGGAAATACATAAATTTTACCTTTATTTGTTTTATTGTTTTCTTTTTGGTAATAAAACACGTTATTTGTTACAAATTTTGGTTGTGTTTTTATTTGCTCATTTGGTCTGCTAGTTTATGGCGATGTTCTGGACTAAGGCATGGTGATCAAACATGTAGTTCATAAGCAGCTGCCACATCTGGGAAGACACGCTGGTGCACCATATAAACAAGTGTTCGATTAGGGTCAACCCACCTTATTCTGGAATGGAATTGGTGTTTTGTCCACACTGACAAACCTAGAAATATAAGTAGGGCGAATCCAGCATTGAAACACACGGTCTTTGGTTGCTGGCATGCCTAAGGGACGCAACTCTGCACAGTGACCTGAGGCGCCTAAGACTGGTCCCATGTAAACCCGCTAAGGATTCTTGAAGAAGGATGATAAGGCAGTGAACTATGAACACATATGTATATACTTACATACACAACATTTATGAATCATTCTAGGACTGTTGAGGCATTTGTTACAATATACGGGTGGCTCAGTCGTGTACTAAGGCGCCGCGATTCGATGTGCAGAGTTGCGTCCCTTGGGCACGCCAGAAACTTCGGCTTTCCTCCCACGCCGTGATATAACTGGAATACTCACTCACTCACTCTAGACTAACGTATGGTGATCACACATGTAGTCCATAAACAGCTGCTACATCTGGGACTGCACGCAGGTGCACCATCTGAACAGGTGTTTAATTCTGGAGAGAAATTAACATTCCAAACGTCACATCCACTCACATACTGAGCAGTTTACATGTACATTACTTAATCTTCACACAAGTGTTTTTAGGATAATAAATATGTGAAACTCATGAATATGTGAGTGAGTCCTCCTTTAGGATTCTTGACGCATTTGTAACAATATTTAGGAAATATATTACTTGCAAAATGTTTGGTAATAATCAAATCATGGAGTAGAAAGTTGTACCACGAACAATACATACCTTCTGACCACCATGGGAAATTAATGCATGGAGT